GTTTCTTGATGTAGACAAGAAACGCTGTGAAGTTCCCTCTTAGAACTGCTTTTACTGCATCCCATAAGTTTTGGTATGTTGCATTTCCGTTGTCATTAGTCTAAAAATATTTTTTGATTTCTCTTTTGATTTCTTCTTTGACCAATTGGTTGTTAACATTGCATTATATTTCAGTTATCCAACATGTATGTGTTTTTGTTCAAGAGTGCTCAAATAATTGTTTTATTTTGGTATTTTGTCGAGAGTTTATATAAGCTGCGGAAAGATTTTTTTGTTTTTAGGTATATACTTCTAGATACCAGAAGGCATTGTTTTTGAAGCTGGGAATTTTATAGAATTAATTAGTATATTATAGAGAAAGAAATCATTGGAGTCAATAGAATTGGTTAAAAATAAAAAAAAAAAAACTTGTGGAGTATATAGCTAAGCCTTAAAAATAGGTAAGTTTGAATACCAGGTGCTGTAGGCGTTAAAAAATAAAAAAGCAATTGGAGGGATTGTTTTTATGAACATTATAGATGTCTAACCAATGTACTTTATACTTGAAACTAATTTAAATAAATTTATTTAAAAAAAGAATAAAAATAGGTGAGTTTATGTTCTTATATTAAATATTTAGTCAACTTTCTCATTTTTATATTTTATGAGTAAATAGTGGTGTACAGTTTCTGTAATGAGCCATACATATATGGAATTTCAGCTTATGGTATTTACCAGTTATAAAATAAACAGTAGATTATAGCAACAGAATATAGGTTTTTTCTATTTTAGCAGTTACAGCTCTTATGTTTGTTTTTTCATGATTTATTATAATAAAAAAGAATTGTTTTATGAATGCTCACACACATCATTCTTAAAACTCACTTAGTATTTCTGAGGAGTATTTTTCTAGCCATAGATAGCCTTATCTGTTAGTGTTTTAGTGGGTAATAGAATCAATTTAGAGGTTTTCGAAATAGCATTTAAAAAAATGAAACCTAATAGAGATTATTGCTCTGGGTAAAAATTGTTTTGTGGAACTGTTTGTGTGTGTGTGTGTGTGTGTGTGTATCAGTTAGCAACGTATGTATTTCTTATTGTACATTATGGTCCAAACAGTGGCTCCCATTTTAGAGAGCCGCTAGTTAAAATCTAGTGATAACTTTACATATTCTTTTTCAATTTAAAAGAGTTAATATTTTTGTAATATTAGCTTATTTTGCATGTGTTTGGAATTACAGTTTACAAAGTAATTATGAGAATTTACTCTTATGTTTAAATTGTTATGTGGAAATTAGAGGGAGAATGAAGTCATATTTTGAACTGGCATCTTAATAACATTGTCAGATAAGAAGTATTGTAAGTGAGATGCCCCAAAACTATCATTTAAACAGTTTTGACATGGGTTGAAAAACATTAAAAATATTGTCTTATTTTCCTTGTGTTTTATGTATTTTGATGACATTTAAACATGGGGTGTTTATTAAGATATAGGATCCTCAGATTTAAATTGAATAGGAAATAACGAAACAAATTATATTAAAATGGTTCCTAGAATTTTAGGGTACAAATGTCTGATGTACACAAGACAGAATTTTATTTTAAATAGAAGCACATATAGTTTAGCTAAGTTAAATACAAATTCTCACTAGACTTTGTTGTTTTATATGTAATTAAAATATTTGTTTCTCAGTTATGAGTCTCAGAGGAATAATAGCATATTTGTTTCTCAGTTACGAGTCTCAGAGGAATAATTAAAGAGTATACTATGAGATCTTCGCCTTGGCAAAGGGACTTTGTCTTATTCATATTTATATCATCAATGCCTATTATAGACCTGACAAATAATATAATAATATGTTCTAAACAATGTAAAGAATTACAGTTGATCCTTGAACAACAGGGGTTTGAACAGCGCAGGTCCATTAATATGCAAATTTTTTTCAATAAATATCGTGAAATATTTTTTCTCTTTATGATAGTCTTAGTAACATTTTCTTTTCTCTAGCTTACTTTATTGTAAGAATACAGTATATATTACGTATTACATACAAAATATGTGTTAATTGTTATTGGTAAAGCTTCTGGTCAACAGTAGGCTATTAGTAGTTAAGTTTTGAGGGAGTCAAAAATTATATGCGTATTTTCAACTGCAGGGATGTCAATGCCGCTAGCCTTTCTGCATTGTTCAAGGGTCAACTGTACTTCTTTCTTCAACTTTTCTTTGTCTTTTAGGACATTGACTTTTAGGACATTGACACTTTTGAATAAGTGTATGCGCCACTTATTTTATATGCTATTTCTCAATTTTTATTTTTCTGTTGTTTCTTTATAATCAAATTTAGGTTATGATATTTTGTCTAGAAAGCTGTGTAAATGATGTTGAGGTCTGCAGGATATCACACCCAGAGGCATGTGATGTCCGTTTGCCACTTTTTGGTGATGTTAATTTGATTTCTTGATTAAGATGCTCTGTGTTTTTTACACTGCATAATTAATTTTTTTTCTCTTGTAACTAAAAAGAAATTGTGGGTAGATAAATTGTGACTGTGTGTTCCAAATGAAACTTTCACCACTTAGATTGAGTATCCATGATGATTCTTACTTAAATCAATTTCTTATAACTTCTGGTTTTTATTTTGATATAATTTCAAACTTAGAGAAAAGTTGCAATAATAACATAAGGAACCTTCATATACTCTATAATCTGATTCACCATTTGTTTACATTTTACATTTTTAATCTGTATAAGAGTAATAAGAACAGCTATCTCAAGTAGTATTTATTTTCTTTGTCTCCTAGTTTCACTAAAAAAAGTTTGTTTTTGTTTTTTTTATTGTTTTGTAAAATGTTCTCTTATAATGCTAGTTTTCTTTCTATATTTCCTCTAAATTTAAGGTTTTTGAATATGGCTGATTTTCTATGAAATTTTATGTGTGGGTGTGTATATGTGCATATACCTACATATGAGCTTAGTAATGTTATTTACTTTCTAAATTACTCTTTCATGTGTCTTGGACCAATATTTTTTAAATCACAAAATTCAATAGAAAGACTATGGAATTTAAGAAAGCCAACCCAGAAACTATTTTTCATCTTGACTCTTTTTAAAATTACCTTTCCTTGTGAATGTTCTTTGATTCAATTCAATTCAATAAAAATAGAGTGCCTACTATATTTAAAAGAAGTAGAAAAAATTAGGTGATCAAAATGCCTTATATTTATAATGCTTTGTGGTTACTCAAAACACTTTAAATATGCATTTTCTTATTTGATATTAACAGTAACTCAGAAAAGTAGATAGTTCAGGTATATTTATTTCCATTTTTTATGAGGAAATTTAGAGCTTAAAAGATCGTGACAACTGAGGTCACATAGCTAGTTGAGTGACAGACTAACTATGAACCAATCATAAGCTTTAAATTCAGTACTCTTTTTAATTCTTCCACATCACCTCTATGTAGTGACTAAGCATACATTAATTCATGCAAAGGCCCGACCACAATGGGGGTATACTTAATTTATTTACTTAATATTTATCTTCATCATTTATCTTACCTGCTTTAAGGACAAGGATAGAATCAGTTAAATTAGATCAAATCAGTATCTTATAGGTCCATATGAATGCCTAGAGGGTGTTTTTCAGTTAAAATAGTGTGTCAGAGTGCTTGTATGTATGAAAGTGGTTACGATATGTTTTTCTTTATTTTATTGGAAGGTATATTGCATGTGACTATTGAAAATTTTAGAGACTATGCTTACTGTAATCAGTGTTAAAGGTTAGTATATTAAGTAAGGACCCTTACTGTGCACTAGTAAATTGATTTTTTTTACTTCTGATCTTATGGATTATGTTTCTGCGACATCTTCCTTCTTCTTCTCCATAACTTCTGAAAGGTTCAGTGCCAGAGAGAACAGAACTGTATCTTTATTTTCTCATCACATCCTCTCTCGAATAGATAATACTTCCATTGCTCTCTTTCCAATTTGGCTTTGAGTCACTGCTGTGATTCTAGCTGTTGAACAGGCTTTCAAGTAAGCAATTAGTATTCTGGTTAAGTAAAAATTGTTGTGAGGCTGCCATTCTTACCAATGCAGCTAAGGTAGTTTTACTAAATCAATTAGTAGGGTCATGTCAGAGGCATACTATAATTGCATTTCACAGAACTTCCCTAAATATTAATAGTTGAGATTTACTGGAAATTAAATCTAAAATTTTTAAGCTCATAGTTCAGAGGATGGAGAAACCAATAATCTGTCAAGTTCAATAAAGCCATATTTATGCTGCTCTAGTCTGTCTTTATTATTTTTGTCTTACCTGATTGAATTTCGCTGTTGTGTTCATTAATAAATTCAAAGGAAATGTTCTAATTAGTTTCTGTCATAACTGGGAACCATAGTAAGTTAGAGTTCTTTGGAAAGCATGATAATCTATTGGGTAACACCTGCTCACTAGCAGATATCAATTCTTTGCCTGGCTGTATTCCAGTCTCACTAACTGTGTCTAAATGTGTGAACCTCTTACCATCTGGGTACTTTGATTTCCCTCTAAATTAAAAAAAAAAAGTCTTATCTGTGTTTTACCTAATACAAAGAGTTTTGAAAGATAATAGAAGGTTATTAAAGTGATTATCACTAATATATACTATTTACTAGTTAAAATTTATGACTTTAAAAATCATTTGCTTTAAAACATACTATTTTAAAATAGCAATGTATTATTTAAAAACCATTGACTCTTTTAGTATACTTTATTGCTTAATTTTAGAACTTTTATTTTTAGAACAGAGAGTATTTAAAGACCAGTTTTACTTTGAATTTGACAGGCATGGCACGAGGCCAATCTAATGAGCCTAAAAGAAGAATTTGCAGAGTGTGCAGGTTAAAGGAACTCTGGAGCTGACTTTCCACAAAGTCCAGGCTATCCATGTTGATTAAAAACTGCTGAGTGGTTTTGCTTAAAGTTGACTGTGTTCTTCCTTCTGCCTCGTCTGATTCTAATCTGCACTTGTCTTTTACAGCTAGAGACAGTTGGATGGCAGCTTAACCTTCAGATGGCTCACTCTGCTCAAGCAAAACTAAAATCTCCTCAAGCTGTGTTACAGCTAGAAGTGAGCAATGAAGATTCAAAGGTAAGAAATGGTAGCCCATTGAAATGATGTATATTTTACTAGGTCTTATATTTTGTTAGAAGAGTCTTTTCTCTATGGATTTAAAATTTAAACATAATTTAATTAAAATTAAACAAGGATTAACAAATTGACAGATTTTATTTGTGACAGATTTTGATGTCAGACATATATCACTTTGTTATTTATTTGAAGAAATAGCTTGTCTTGCAAGGTGCTCGTCTTTTAGGAACATTGAATAATGTTTTCTTTTAAATCCTGCAATGGAAAAACTGGTCATAGCCATATAAAATTATGATTTTAATGTTTTATATATTTGTGGATATTCCTGGATGTTTTGAGTTTTAAGCTAAATATATTTGGTAAGGGAATGTTGCTGTTGTCCAGCCAATGCCTGGAATATGGAGATGATCTGAATTGTGTTTATGTGTTTGTAGTATGTGTGCATGTGGTTATAAATTCCAGCTCTTGCAAAATAGAATTTTGGATTAGTTTTATGCCACATGGTGATTTCTTCTTTAGTATTAGTTTCAGAAAACTTGATTGTGTTATCAAAAGTTAGAGTTTTATGGAATAATTTTTCTTACTGTGGCATATAGAGAAATGAATATTTCAGATATCAATAAGAGCTATTTTTTATATTTTCAAATTGTAATCGATTATCTTTTTAAGATAGAAAAGGGGGAGTAACCCATTTTCCCCTAAATAAATGATACTGTTCATTTTAAGACAAATAAAACAGATGAAAATGAGGTAGGAAGATCTGAGGAAGGAGAGGTTACTATGGCTTGATGTGATCAGAGAATAATGGAAGAAATGTTATTGTTTATAATGAACATCGAAGGATGGTAATATTATGACTTCTTTGTTAGTGCTTTCACTGTTTATTATATTAGGCACATTCTGTCTTCTTTAAGAACTGAGACCAGCGCCTAGCCCAATTTTAGGCAATTGATTTGGGTCTTATTATATATAATTTGTTAATTTATTACAGTGTTTCAAAACTATTTCATTTCACACATTTTCACCAGAAAGTAATATAAACTTCATGGTTAAGAGTCAAATTGATTGGTATGTATGCTTTGCCATTTAGTAGCAGTGTAACCTAGGGCAAATTACTTAATTTCTATAAGTATCAGTTTCTTCATCTGTAAAATGGGCGTAAAATTATCTATCTTCCAGGGTTTCTATGAAGGTTAAATACCCAGTGTATGTAAAGTGCTTAGTCCATTGCCTAGTATATATATGGTAAATGCTCAATAAATGTTGGCTGCTACAATCTCCATTATCATCAGTAAAACATTGTTGGCTAACGAATAAATGAATCTCCTTGTTTTAAACCAAAGCTGTCATTCCTGATGAAATGAACCTTTTCTTTTTTTCCTTCCCCTGCATCCTTCCTTCCTTTTGTTCTTGATCATATTTTTTATATTTATTCTTACTGGGAATCAGGGAAGCAAAGGACAGCCTGGAAAGATCTTTTCTCCCACACACTAGGGAAGGCATTCTTTTAAGTTAGGAAAATAATCTGGAACTCACTGGTATAGACTGGGACTATTCCATGAGTGAAAACACACAATATATACATACTTACATGTATTCATCCTCCCAATAGTTATATACTTTCATTGTTTTATTTTTCTTGACTACCATATGTTAAGTATGAGTAGCTAAATGCAATTTATAGGTTGGAAGGCTACTGTTGTGAATACATTTATATACATATATATATATGTATATATATATAAAGTATATATATATAACACACACACATATGTATGTATACATATATATGTGTGTATATATATATATATAAAATGTTAAGCAAAACTAAAATCTCCTCAAGCTGTGTTACAGCTAGAAGTGAGCAATGAAGATTCAAAGGTAAGAAATGGTAGCCCATTGAAATGATGTATATTTTACTAGATAGATATATATATTAGAAGAGTCTTTTCTCTATGGATTTAAAATTTAAACATAATTCAATTAAAATTAAATAAGGATTAACAAATTGACAGATCTTTATTTGTGACAGATTTTGATGTCAGACTTATATATCACTTTGTTATTTATTTGAAGAAATAGCTTGTCTTGCAAGGTGCTCGTCTTTTAGGGACATTGAATAATGTTTTTTTTTAAAATATGATATCTATCTATATGATAGATATAGATATATATATATTAGATATGCTTTAAGCACCATGACTTTCGCAATTCTTGACTTTGTGATGCTTGAGACCTCCCAGCAACTTTATTATGTCTTCAAAATATGCCTCTGTCTCTATCATATTTTTAGGCAGTAGGAATGAATGAGTAATGCTTCTAGTAAGAGTCATTTTTTAAATTCATATACTTCAGGAAATCCATACAGATGTGAGATCCAGCTCATTTGAATTATTGGTTTGAGTACATTTGTATTTTTCTGTTACTATTCTGAAATTTTAAAAGAACATTTTGTTACTCTTACAACTTGCAGAACTAGAGAAGCATTTTCATTAATAAACAAACACTTGAAAAGAGCAGCAGCACACAAATGTAAAGGATATTTTCATTTTGTATGTAGATTTAAATGAACCTCTTTGTATTGCTTAATCTCCCCTATAGCATTGTGTGGATTTGGTCCATTACTTATAGCTCCTAAACAATGGAAATGTAATGGAGTGTACATCCACTGTCACCCTGGACAGAAACATTGCCATCTCCATGTGATGCAGCACACCCTAGTCATAAAGGAACAATTAACTACTACACCTTTGTTCTCCTCAGTGAAATGCTGCCTGGAATTTTTACTTTTCTTTTGTTTACATTCTCTGTTTTTATGATCTAGTATTCTATTCTTTGTATTCTTATTACATCTGATTCCTTGATGTTGATCGTTATGTTAATTTCTATTATTAAGGACCACACACTGCTTTCATTTACTCTTTTCTGAAATGAGAATTTAGGAATTCTTGACAGGTTGGAATATTAAATGAAAGGACTAGGAGTATGAAGGATGTTTTAAAAACCGACTTCATTAAAGGAGAGCTGTTATTAAAAGAAGATTAAAAATTAATCACTAGTTTATTATGGAAAGTACCATAAAGTACAAAGTTGTCATACTTATGAAATTGGCACTTGTTTAAAACAGGAAGCATTAGGTAAAATTATTTTAAATGTATATTTTACAAAGTAGTTATCTCGAAAATGTACATATATCAAAATGATTCTGAGAGGATTCGAGGCAGTGCAAATTGTGAGAGAATATTTTGATGGTATTTACTTTTGAGCTGCTAAACTGAGAACTTACTAAAATGCACTGAAGAGTGTGGTTTCTAAGAATCGCTTTTCTCATTCACTTCCAACATGCACATGAAAAGTGTAGCCTGCAGTGAAGTTTTAATTGCTATCACATTTGATAACAATGTTGTACTGGTCTCCTTTCTCTTAGAACATTTCTGTCTCAAGGCTTTCCTGTTTTGCTACTAAGTTTATCATGAAAACCAGTGACTGTAGTTTTTTCCTACAGTATTTTGATATACTAGTTGTTTTCAGTTAATTGTTTTAGTGTTTATCTATTGCACTTAGAAAAGTGAGATTATTTTCCTGTTCCACAGATAACTTAAAAGGAGTTTTATGGGGTTTTTTGTTTGTTTTTTTGTTGGTTTATTTCGTTAGGGGGCAGTAGAGCTCTTTGCTTACCTAAACTCTGGCATTCACAGTATTATTTGAAGTAATATTCAAAATAATTTGTGAAGTCAGTAGTCATAGAAAATGCCTAAGTATTTACATTTCTAATCTGTATATAACGATAGAATTCTCTCATTTCCATCAACAAAATTAATACCTATTAATCAGATATGTACAGAACAAGTAAATGAAATTATCATGATTTCAGTGTTTGTTAATTTTTATATAACCATTTGCCAAAATGAAATTTATTAAAAGCCTTCTACACTATTGACTTTTTTTTGTTACATTCTGTTACTGTATTAATTTCTTTATGAGAAAAGAGAATAAAATAATCCCCAAGATAGTTGAATGGCTCTATTAGGTGATAGTATAACTAGTTCCAGGCTAATCAGAGACAGTTGAAGTTTATTTATTTATAGAGAATAGCAGTTTTATATGTAACAAATGTTAGTAATTTAGAATAAGATCAAAATGTTAAGTTTGAATATCCTAAAAATACTAAAATATTTAAATTTTGCTATTAATCTTGCATTATTGTATTTTTCTATAATGAATTTGCTGTTCAGGACAATTGTTTTGTTAATAAATGATTCTAATTTTTTTTGGCCATCTTTTAAGAAAGAATCTTGTGTTTCATTCTTTTGAAACAAACAGGATGAAATCACCTTGATAAGAGTACTTTCATTTATATTAATGTTAAACTGGATTATGCTCAGGTTGCAGAAGGTACTTTATGGATGGGTAATTATGATTTCAAATGAAGTTAGGACTTTCAAAACCATTTTTTTTGAGTTAGAGATCTTTATTTTTATTTTCAAAATTTATAACATTCTATCTAGAGTGAGAAAATGTGGGGAGTGGGGATAAGCCTATTTTTAATACTTTGTGCTAGAGACAGTATTACCTCCCTTAACATTTAAAACATCTCTACCAGGCATGAATTCTTATTGTTATCCTTATTTTATAGGTAGATGGAGAAATGGAAACACATAGAGGTTAAATCATTTTTCTATGTTTTACAACTAATAAACAGCACAACTAGGATTTGAAACTAGGCAATTTTATTTCAGAGTCCTATGCTATACTCATCACTCAGATACTGTATCATTGTGCTTTTTTAATAATTTAGCTATTGATCCTGTAATTCGTATATGTTTCAAAGTGCTAAAGGCTGTTTTGAAATGCAATGATTGTTTTATTGTGATAGTACTTTGTAAAACTAAGTTATATGGATTCTAAATTTTATTTTCCTTTTTGATTAAGTTGAAACAATTTTATACTTTAAGTCAATGAGAGACACTAATATATACTTTTTATATAGTAAGTAAAGT